GGGTCCATAAGATTGATTTAATCAATTATTTGAGGTTTCTGAGGTGCGTCCACCCCGTCACTTAACTTGCTAAAGCAAGAGCAACTCCAGCTAGCTAAGGCTAGCTTTCGTGACAAGAGTCATACATCAAGTTGGCCAAGAGTCATATCCGCATTCAAACAATATCCGCCCAATCAGAACCTACATGTAAAACAGAATCAAAGCGCCAAACATGCATGGTCACCCAGCAATACACCACAGACTCCCCAACTCCCTTTGGCACGGAGCAAACGGGGGGGGTGCCTCTTCTTCTGCATCAGCATAGAGCTGTGCCACTTGTCTCACCGCCTACGCTGGATCGATTGGGATTGGCTGCGGACTGGTCATCAGGTCTCCGATGTCTGCATATACACTTGCGATTTGGGGGAGCTAATCAAATCTCTACAGGAAAACGTGAGGGACGGATTGAAACGCTAAACCATCAGGAAACAAAACGCCATGTCTCCACCATAAATGGTCATGTCTTTCTGCTCGCATACTGTATGGTCTTTCTCCTCGCATATGTAATAATTATGATATCAAAGCCAAACATGTGCTTCTCCTGCAAGATCTTTATGACATCTACTAGGGCAAATAAATGACCCTGTGGTTAGTGGTCACACATACAGTTCACCCAGTGTGTTGCCCCTTAATCCTTAATTAATCCCTGAATCTTTCTAAACACCTCTGATTGGTTCCCGCCTTTGTTGGTCACCCTGAATTGAAACAGGTTTTGCTGTTTGAGTTGCAAGTGTAAATTGGTGATCTGCGGGCAACTTTTCTCCAAAAACACACTGCTTGAGAAATCTGATTGTCCTTGTTCTTTAGAACTCTGGCAAGCCAGAAACTGAAAGTTGAGAGCAAATATTGAGCAAATAATGAATACATTATGGTGATTTGAGGATTGCTGGTTGCTGCGGCGGCAATCAACACATATCATATACCTTATGTTTTTGTTGAGCAGCAGAAGACCTTGTTTGTTAGATCCCCAACTAACTTCTATGAAAGTTAAGGACCCCCCAAAAAAAATACAAAAACAAAACAAATAGCATGATGAAAGGACGACACCGCGACCGCCGGACTGTCAGTGTTGCAGAATCAGGGCTCTTCTTCATACAGCAAGATGGTCGACTAATTACCATTAATTGGTTGGATTGCCTATTTTGTCCTTCCAACACTTTCTTCATCCACCTTTCACAAACCAGCTTTGCCCAGTTGGTTTGCCAACCTCCCCAGATCCCTCGCCTTCCGCGTGCGGCAGCGCTCCTCGGTACAAAGCTCCTCGACCGCCAACAGGGCGGCGACACGCACCTGGCTCAGCTGACGCGCAGCTTCACCCTATTGAGCAAGGAGAATTCACCCTCAGGTTGCAGCTTCTGAAGTATCAACTCGTGGCCTTGAACATTCTACTGTTGGATTTCGACATATCGCAGAAGTGAAATAACTTTGGTACATTTGGAACAACGGTAAAAAAAACAGTTGTCCTGAGTGAAATTTAAATTAGATTCTATTTATCTCACGAGCGACTGACGTGCAAATCATCTGCCGTGCCATTAATTCCGACCGCACTGAACCACAGTCGAATCAAAACACTCCATGCCATTCCAAAGCCTTCTCCGTAGATAACCGACCTGCATACATCACTCTATAATCTGGATGTTGGTGGTCTTGCATTGTTCTACATTCTGCTCACGTTTCTCATCCACAACGGCCGCTCCCTGGACGCGGCGCTTCCGCTTCGGACTTTTGACTGGCAGCTGCAGGTTGCGGCCATGGAGGACAGGAACCTGATGGCACTGGGTGTGGTTGCTGGGAAGGTTCCGTGTGGGTCGGTGACATGCTTAACTTCTCTTGTGAAGCCAATGCCTGGTGGCGAATTATGCGCGCTCTACGGGTCAAAGGGTGGCTGGTTGACACCAAAATGAACAGAATCCTCTACCAGGATCTACCAGGCATGTCTACCCATTCTGACACTGGTTTGACTTGAGGGGTTGTAATGTTGGATCTTGATTAGTAAAGGGGGTCCTCCCTCCCAAACAAAATTGGGGGCCATCATAATCATATACACCTAGAACCTGGGAGGAATCCTCCAAAACTCTGCAAAATCTTGCTTGGTTGCCGCCTTGAGATCACGATAAAGAGGGCGACAACCACCACAACGAGAAAGCTCAAGGAGTGGTCGTTCAGTCTAAATCCACACCAAACCAATGTTTCAAGCACTGGTTAAAATTTCAGCTACTAAGTTAGTACTGCAGTCAGTACAAAATTTTGGCTGCCCAAAGAATCTGACCGCCAGATCCTGCCAAAGGACTTTGCCGAGCTCCATGGAGCAGTGCTCTACCCACGTCCGCCAGGCGAGGCCTTGCAAACAGTGTGGCCAGCGACGAAAAGTACGATTGGACCCTTACAAATTATTGTTCCAGGATGTTCCAGGGAATGTGTTGGGTACGTCTTCTTTTGGCATTTCAGGTGGCTAGTGCTACTGGTATTTTTTGCTGAGAAGGGTGAAGGTGAAGCAATCATTGTCCTCCCTCCCAACTGCCCAGCGCCCAGCGAGCTTTTCAATCAGTCCCTCCAAAGCCTCGCAATAGATCTGGGTGAATGAATGGAAACTTCCAGGTTTTCCAAGAACTTCTCCAGAAGCGACCCAGCTGCTATGGTTCCCTCGCATCTTGCTTACACCTATCCTCAGGTCCTTGCTCGCATACCAAACTGTTCTGCACCCCTCAACTTTTGTGCAAACATCCCCGACTCGCGGCACATGGCGTCTAGCCTTCGGTTTGGCCTTCGCCTTCGGTTTGGAGCTCCCATCGCCTTGGACTCGCGGGTCTCGCCACTGAAAACGGTGAGCTCCTGGTAGAACGAGACCCCCTGTCTTAGATAGAAAAGTAGATCCTGATCAACACCCACTAAAGAATGTATTGGAAACCGTGCCACTATCTATTTGGGCACCATTCCCCCAGAATCCAGGCCCCAGAAACCCATGGCCATTCGGGGGTGGAAAAACGGGGGTCTCAGGTGCCAAGGGATGGCATGCAGGGTCCCAGGAATCTTCGAGTTGTAGCTTTATCTCATTTGGAGACCTGCAACTCAGCTTCCTGTTCGACCTGGTTGCTCTAAGCAAGACACACCATTTTGACACCCATGGACGAACTGATTCAAGTGTATTTTTTCGGGGGCGAACACAAAAGTAATCGAACATATCGACATCGACACCTGGTTTCCCTACAATTTCCAGAACTGGCTGGGACATGTCCGAACACTGCACAACACATGTTCCATCATGTTCCTCTCATTTGCATCCAACAGCATACTATGCTGGTCCCCTGAACCATCCGAATTCCCACGTCGAGGTGCGTGGACACACTCCTCCCCATTCCTCACAAGGCCAAGCAGCTTGAGCTGTAGCTTGAGCTCGAACCTGCCAAGCTCAGCTTGGCTTGGGGTTTTCGGGATCGCACGGGATGTATATATAGCTGATGTACTGATATATATATATAATATATATATATATAGCCTTGGAGGGATCGGGTGATGGAATTGAATTCATGACTTGATCGAGTGATGGCGCGAGTTTCGTTCCGGCGCATGCGGCAGTTGTGTCTTGCAAGAAGAACTTGTATGTTGGAGTGTCTCCTCGTGAAGCTCCCAAGATTCCCCCCCCCAAAAAACGGCACATATCATTATAGATAAACATGAACAAGCAAAGGCATAAGTTGGCAGCATCCTCGTTTCAAGCAAGGATTCCACGACACTACACATGAACTAATAGTCCTCCCTGTCACTCTGCAAAGCAGCTGGGCACCCAAGCTGTAGTCGCCTCGATCGCGAAACAGACTGGCCCATAGTCCCAAGAAGTTGTACTTTATGGGGGACCCGTTCAATCGCTGGATTGTTTTCCCCTGCTTTCAGGGCAACTATGTTTCACAAAAACAGATCGCATGATTTATTTGGCAAGGTGTCCCCTCAAACTATATATACATAAGAGACTCAAATTCAATCAGGTTAAACACGTTACTAAACATCTTAGTGGCACTCACACGCGCTTCTGACAGGAAACCCTGTTGGATATTTCTGAACACCATGATTTTCATGTTCACCAGCTCTGTTCCGATGGTTTCCGTAGATGGAGTCATTCAAAGCCCTTGCGCTACTATTGGTCAACACCCCAAACAGCATCAGACTATATAACTCCAGGGGGATTGGCACAGTATTGGGTGCTTATCAACACACACTCAACATCTTGAGACAGTTCCGCGGAAAAAGACAACACCACCTGAGCGCTACCTATTTTGGAGTTTGCCGTGGTTTACATGTCCTGCCATCGAGAAATCAACCCTTCCAACACCTCCAAGCTTCACCCCTCAAGCCAAAATGCTGCCACTACTGGATGATCTGCTGGAAGAGCGGCTACTAGTCTTGCTGGTCGCGGCGCTGCCTAGCAGGCTAGTCGGCGCCAGTCTGGATCACCCGGTCCCCGGGTCAACTGACCTGCATCCCATGCTTGAAATAACACCTGTAGTTGATGTGGTAAGCCCTTGAAAACGCCCACGAATTGGGATTTGCTTAAGGAACCTGGAAAAAGACACAAATAGATTCACCAAGTCACCAGAAAGGGGAATTGATCCACATAGTAGGGAAAATTCACCTATACTAAGATCTCCTCAGCAAGATGTTCCAAAACCTCATCGCAGCCACCGTTTCACAGCACCCTTTCACCCGAGTGCTGCGGACCAGCGGCTCTTGCTGGTCCGCCGGCTGCTACGAGTGCTGCTACGCTTTGGCCCGGTCCTGAGAGCTGATCATCAGTGACGGGGTCTCCCCCCCTGGCCCTGGCGGAGTAGACTGGTCTATTTTCCGAAGCTTTGCAGGGCGTCTTTGAGAGGTCTCCGTGTTTTAATGCACCCAAATGAAGTGGCGAATTCAACAAACTACAATAACTACAAAGAGATCCACAGAAAGACATGGACTGTCCAAAAGAGACTGCTCTTGATTGAGCATGTTTGAGTTATTTTTCTTGCAAAGGCCTGGGTCAAGCAGTATGGATGCACCCTGTGTTAAAGCAAAAACGGGTGGCTTTCAAAATACATTACACAAAAAAACAAAGCATCACATGCTATATATCCGCCGACCCCTGCTTAGCCCTTGCCTAAGCGGGGCGGCGCCAGGGACACCGGAGGGTGGAACGGGTGGCAGTGCAAACGAAAGCCCCAGCATGCCACGTTAAGCAGCCACCCCCGCCTTCAAAGCCCTACTGCGTCGGCATCTCCTCGGCAGCCGGCAGGCCTGCTCTCTGTGGCCTGTCCGAAGCCTGCCTCTTCTCTTCGCCCACGGGCCCCGCCCGCAAACGTTCCTGCAGGCCGCAGCTTGGCCCAGAAAGCTTTTTCTATGGGCTTCCGAAGGC